ATTAGCAAAAACTTCACAGTCAGAGATAGATGAGTCAAGCCATGTTTCGGTCAGTAAAATGAGATTACAGTCATTTTGAGCAGAAGAATTAAGAACTTCGCTACCCTTGCTCCGAAGACCGCGCGTATTATGATAGTATATAGTTAATGAGTTGTCAACGTGAGACGGTAGGCTTGGATTGGGTGACAGATTGTTCGCGAGTGACATAGAAGTCGTCTGTGGTTGCTATTGACAAAGTAAATCACCTTTACGCCTGTTGACAGCACTGTCATAAGCCGTGCATTTTTTGATATCCTACGCCGCATGACTAGTGTCGATACTAGTATATTTGCCAGCATGGTCCTTAAGTTTTACACAATTTCACGTTCTTACAAGCCTTTACGTCATGGCCCTCCCCAGATCGCGGGCACGAACGAACGTTCTTACAGTACTTGGAGGAGTGATGAAACTCATTACAATTGGAGCAGCGATAAATTTCGATTCCATCAAAAACGCAGCAGGAATCGTATCCCACGAAAAGATTGCCCGCTGAAATGGCCATATCGTAAGTTTCCCTATCCAATTACACAACTCCAAAGTACAAAGGAGAGCCTCCCCATCGTACGTATTATCGAAACCAACAACGCGCACTCTGAGATAATCACCGTGTACTTCGCGAATTTCATAAGTGTGGGGAAGTTTTTCGGTAGCCAGTCTCTTCATCCTATCCACATCCTGAGGATTTTTACATCCAAGCAAAATGCCACCGTTGCTCACATGTTTGATTTTTGAGAATTGTAGATCACAAGTTATGGGATCGACATTCTCTCTCATATCTTGCTTTATCTGCGTTTTAGGCTGAGACCGGTCCTTGGGACGTATTAGGAGTCCAGGTTGCGAGTTATTTTTTAATATCTGTGAATATTTCACTGGTTGAACGTTTGGGTTTCCAGCGGTACTCAATTTATCAGCAACTAACAAAAGGAAGTCGTATTTTAGTGATTCGAAAGTGGCCGACAGTATTTGTAAAGCCATTTGAACCTTTTCCTCAATAACGTTGTTCAGAGCAGATCTGTCCAGTGAGATGCCGTTTAGAACACAATCATCGCATTTCCAAGACAAGCCCTTAGATTCAGACAAAATATTGACAAGGTCGGCGTTTTTGTGAATGCAGGTTGAATGGCTCGCTTTTTACACTCACAGCAGGAAACTCGCTTCCTTGTATTAATTGAATCATTACCAAAAACGCACAACGACATTCTCGCCGGATAAAAAACTGGTATTCGTACAAAAAAGTTTCCCACTTACATGGGCAAAACCCGATGTTAAACGTAGTAATAGTGCTTACGTAATATTCCGCAAAACCAGGATCACAAACGAAAAGGTGTTGACCATACAAAGTCCGCAATGAAACAATTAATTACTAACAATATTGATGAGAGTTCCGTATAATTTGGTAAAAACGGCTCTCCACCAATATGATCTGTTCCTCAGTGAAACATATTTTAGAGTTTGTTAGTTAACTAAAACTTAGTGCTGAATACTTAGCCCTCCTGCATTGTAACAGCAAAATCCACTCCCGGCTCTAAATCGATATTTATTTTCGAGAGTTAGATATAGCCATTGCTGTCAGTTTTTTGTAAGAGGGGTCGAGCAAAAGTGGTCAGACCCCTTGTGCATAGTGTGTAAAATTTATAGGATGATTCTTTTATATGGTATTTAGGTGCAAATGAAAATCAGATAGGCCAACCAGTTGCAGTGAGGAAGATATGGTACGTGCTCATGAGACGGATGTCAATAAGGCGGGCATCGGCAGAATTCACTTGAGTAGATACAAGCCAGTTTTTTCGTTAGATGAAGAAACTGATTTTTGTTGAATACATAGAAGACTTGGGTAACCCTTTTTACAGATCAAGTAGAAGATATTTGTGTTAAATTGCATATCAATATATGAGAACAATGGTGTAAAAATTTTGTGAGCCGATATCCGGAGTTAAGTTTCCGACAGTCTAAACCTACGGGCATAGCAAGCGGCCAATAGACATCATGCTGAATTATTTTTTCTAAAATTTTAAGTTCTTATGAGGAAACATAAAATCGTTTTGGATGTCGTATACAATTTTGACCACAAAGGCGATTTCAATGGTTAGGAAAAAATGGTTGTCCTGCCGGAAAATTGTATTTAATACTCGACTGGGCATGGAATAACATTGAATCTTTTCTGAAAAGTGAAAAAAATTCGAAAAAAAAATTTCTTGGCTTTGTCCATTGCAGTCCGTCTAAGTGAACATGCGCGGTTAATATAATCATTCCGACGATAACATTTCTCCCAAAATCCTAGAACATTGCTTCGATAGTAACGCGTCACTCTTTAGGTGAATACTGAAAATATTTTCTAGGGGAGTTGACATTCGGAAATAATTTTATATTATTCATAGGTGGAATATTTAATAAAAATACCGAAATGACACCTCCAGGAATAAAGTCAATTTGTAGAAATGAAGAATATGTAATTAAAATGTTGAATGCAGTTGAAGCCAATTGGCGCAATCCATTCAATTTGGATGATGGTCCCAAACAACTAATAAATATATGCATGGGAAAAGTAATCACAAAAGAAATTGAAAAGAGTCTATTTAATAATTTGCAAACAGGTGCTGAAAGAACGAGTAGCATTCTCCATAGGTCTATTGAAGTTTTTTTAATACTTCTTCTATGACATTTAACGACACCAAGGACAAATATTTTTGATGAGAATATTAAGAAGCCGTCGCGAATGCAATGTTAGAAGATGTGAAGATGTTTTTGAAAATTACATCTCCTAGTCATTAAAATCTGCCGAGAGACTAAGACGTGGTGAATCATGTGACATAACTGAATATAAAGTTTCTGGGTCCCGAAAGGCTCCAGTTTTTAAAGATTATCTCATATCATATGCCAATAAGAAATCCCTGTTAATTTTTATGGTGGATAATGTTTTGAAGAATGTAGTTAATTGTCTGATAAAGACGAATCATTAATAATAGAAGGATCTGAAAATTCGAAAAACGTCTTTATCATAACCCGGCATAAAGAACATGAACATGAACGTGGCAGACATTCAATATTAACCAAAAAGAGGCAGATACGCGCATCATTCTCTGGGTTCTATGAGATAGAGGGCATCTGGATCATTATGTCGTTTCGAAACAATGGGGGAATTTGAAAGATGAACAATTTGGCGGTACATTGTTTTACAGGATATTACACAACTGCATTTTTTAAATTCCAAATAAATATAGAACAATCGAGAACAATACCTGGATACCAATATTTTTGACACATGATCCTGTACCACATCAAATCAGAAACATTGTGGTTTTGCGATGTTCTGATGCAACATGCAACGCCAATAAATGTAAATACGTATTGGTATTGATAATGGTATTAAAGGGGGGCGCCCTCGCGGGCGTTCAAGCACTTAGGAAACCAGATGGGCCCGTTGTGCCCCCAGGCCGCTCTAGAGGGCCGCCCCTCCTATAGAAGGTCACCAACTCCTTTAGCCCAATACCGTGCACTGAGTCCGGATCGATGAAGGCCGTTCCAAAGACTCCCAATCTTGCCCATGTCAAGGTAGGGCACTCGGTGAGCAGATGATACGGGGTCTCCTCCCCTTTCATGCACCACCTACACTCCGGGTCGTCTCCAATGCCTAGCAAGCAAAGATGCCTCCTAAGCCTGCAATGTCCTGTGTAGGCCCCTGTTAGTGCTCTACACTCCCTTCTGGTCAGTCTAAGCAGCTCCCTGGTCCGAGGAAGGGCGGGCCCATCTATCATAAGCTTCGCCTGCCTCATTGCCGGAGCAACTCTCCAGCCCCCCGCGGCCCGGTCTCTCGCCAAGGCTTCGAGAGCTCCCCGCCTCACACACGGGATGTAAATACGTAGCGCAAGGCTTAAAGTGCTATCAAGAATGTGATTCCAAATTCTATAGCAACAAATATATAATAGGCTCAGCGGAATCTTTGAATGAAGATTTCTAAATGATTTTGAAAACAATATATTTGATTTACACTTTCTTGATTCTCCTAATCATCGGCTTATATAATAATATATAATATATTCCTTGCTTGGTTCAACATAATCGTATTTCTAACACATGTCGGCAATGGCGTCAAAAATCACATTTCAAATACTATTGCGGATAAAAGAATCTGTGTTTTTTGAAAACTTCCATTGGAGATCATGAATAAAATGGAAAATAAAAAATCTGAAAATTATATTTGCTCACTTATCATCGCTTATGTATGCTGTTCAAGTAAAAAAATCATTCGGGTATGTTGAATGGTTTCGCAGTTATATATTTCAGGATTTATTTGCTGCTCGCACAAGAAATTTAACCATAGATTTAAATTGTTTAAATAAAATATGTTAAAGAGGGAATAGAATAGAAGGGTTTCGGAAACCTTTGTTAATGAATTACTGTTAAAACGTAATTGTTTTGCGGAAAATCCGTAAAGGTTTTAATTTTTTTAATTCAAAATCGCCTTTTACGACAAAACTGCAGAAAACATCGAAATTTCTAATAAACCCGTCCATCGAAATTTATTTTTTTATAAATCGTGGCGAATGTTTTCCCTTAAATTTAGTTAAGAAGATGACAGGGGTAGTTTCATTCACTACTATTTTAAACAAATGTGCATAATGTGTGTTTTGTAATAGTAATACTTCCAAAATGTTTAACCTATTTTCGTATTTAGGTTACCTAATATTTGTCTTATTCAAGGAATCCTCCGTAAGTTTTTCGCATTTGTTTTGTATATATTTACGCAATGTTTCTTTACATAATGAACCGAAATCACAAACAAATTTTTATTTTTTAAAATTGCATCATTTTAGAATATGATGATGGTAAATATATATCATCTCCTTTTTAGAATCCAGAAGCAGGCAATAAAATTGGAACGTGGACCACGTAACTATTTGATTTTTTTTCAAACCCAGCTCCCTACCCAAGAATTGTTTAGCGTACTAATATATACTCACCCTTCTAGTTCTGTCTCGGACATCACCGCCGTATTACCAAAAACCTTATGTCCTCGGGGATGCACGATTGTAATATTAGCAATGATCCTGTGCTTTTTTCGTTCAAAAAATGGCATCATATCTTGCACATCGACAAAAACGGCCCACACGTAAAATAACTTGCCTTGAAAATTATTTTGTTTGATACCGAAGGGGACATCTTCCGTTTCCTCCTGCATTAAACCAGTATAAATTATTGAAATGTTGTATTCGGTATTTTTATGGAACTCGTGTTGAACTGTCACACTTTGGTCAGCCTCGTTCACAGTGTACTGAGACTCGTCAAGTAATGTTCCGTCGATAGTGACATTTTTTATTGTGAGTAGTTTCGCATTTGATTTGAGTTTCACTGAAGGAGCATCCTCAATAACTGTAAAAATGATCCCGACGCTGCCATTGTACTGGGGTGTATTGTCCATCAGCGGCTCGAACGAATCCTTTCCAAGAGCCATGTAAATATCGTAAGATTGGGTCTTGACGTTATCATCTGAAAACGATTTTTTCGGAAAGAGCGCTAAGAAAACAACGTACGCGTAAAAGTCCATAATGCCGCAATCTGAAACAATGAGCAATATTATATTTAATTTATTACGGAATTACCGACATTGGTCGACTTAAGCTAAAACAAATATTAAAAGTAGGATGGTGTGTCTCCGCCTTTGACGGATCCTCCCCCAATAAAGTAATTAGGATCTTTATATCTATGGTTACTGGGTAGATCCAACAGCCAATAACTTTGTTCATATTTTAGAGAGTCGTGGCTTTTTGAGAATTGAGAATTACGCAAAAGTTGTTGCTTTCGAAAAATCGACTTAATGAAACCACTTTTGAAACGTTCCAAGAAAAAATTGTCTCAAGAACGGTTACTGACATCAACAAAATTCTTGAGCGAGAAGACGCGTGAGGTCAAAAAAATCTAAAAATCAATAAGAGTAATATTTTTTCAAAATGTACAGGTTAGCTAAAAACTTTGTATTTGACGTTTTTAAGTATAATAGTCTTAACTTCAAATTTGGCAATTAAATAGTACCCACACTAGGACTTTAAAAGTTGGGAGCAATCAAAAGTCGCGAAGTATTTTTTTAAAAATTCCGAAAATTTGTTTTGGGTTATTTTTGCATAATGAAAAAAAATTTTGTGTCGAAAACTTTTCGGCAGAAAAGCATTAGGCATAAATCAAAATTGGTGAAAAATATGTCTATTTGGTTTATACAGTCTGATTAGCCGCATCGAGGGACACAATTTTTGTATTTAAGATTTCCTTCTATAACGCATGCTTCTCGATATATGTGAATAAATCCATGTGAAAGTCGTCATATCTAGCACTCAACCTAGATGCGATGACGTCATTTACGCTTCCGATATACGGGTTCAGAAAACATAGTTTCACAAAAAAAGTATTATCTCTAAAACCATTTACTCTATTGAAAAAATTCATATACCTGGAAACCTAAGAGATCCGGGGCAATAACTTTTACTTTGGGCATTTTTGGGATTATGTATAATAGAGTGTGCAGATTATGGATAAAAACTAAAAGATCCTGAAAATTTCCTTTTTCGTGGGTAAATTGTTAGCCGTAATTACATTGATTTTGCGAAAGTCTCGTAGTGGTCCGCAGGAGCACGATAGAAAAACATTGCGTCCCTCTAGGACTAGACGATATTTCGAAAGTATAAGACGGACATAGTTAAGAATATATATTCCACGAATCTGTAAGTTTGTGACAAAATTATTTAATACAAACTAATTAATGTTTTATAAGTAAAAAACAAGTCTCCAAGGAAACTTGATTACTTATAAAATTGATAATATCCTTGGTAAAGGATATTATTAGCGGGAAATTATTAAATGAAAGAAAATTCCTAATGATTTTCAGTCCCACCCTGTGAATAATAGTGAACAAGATCTAATACTAAGAAAAGTATATTTCCTTTATCAAACTCGATTTTTTCTACTTTAGATTAACTGAAAAGGAAGCTAGGGGAAATTAAAAAGTATAAGGCCGAAAAAAGTATTCAACGGGTTGGTTTCAGTAAAAACAGACAAAAGCACCTTCAAATAAAAAGAAACACATCACCATAATTTACGCTAATCAGAAGAGGTATTAATTCCGAAATGCTTGCTGTTGTTTGCGAAGAATATTAAGGACCCTAGCTTGGAGGATAGAAGGGTCGCACTTTGTGAAAACTGATTTCAAGAGGATTTTTTGAAAAATATTGCAAATAACAGTGTCATTGTAATCAAAGAAAATGAAGTTTATTTTCCTGTTACAGGACACATCAAATATAGGAGCAAAAAATTTTACATCTGCTTAGAGTAAAAATGAAATTAATAGCATACCGTAATTTTTTAGATAAGTCTTAAAAAAACCAAACAGGATAATGGGCCAAACTTCAGCTTTGTAAATAGTAATAATATGCCTGTTATGAGCTGGAAAATGGAGTACGACACATTTCTGATACACTTTTAAAAAATAAAATACTGTAATAGAGGCATTATTTATTGCACATGTCTATTCTTACACATTGCATTCTGTCATGTCAAGAGAGAAGGGGTTTTTATTTGTTTAAACGAAAAGCATACATCGGATTAAGAAAAATCAAGAAACTAAATTTATTTAGAAATGATTGAAGATGGAGAGGTGAAATTCCGTGCGCCCGGCACTGGTGTATTAAAAAAAAATGTGGTACGCTAAATAATTAGACATAGTATGCATGTGCCCAATTTTATTAAAATATCTAAATTGGTTTTACAGATATTAAAGGAAAATATATTTTATTTATCACCCATAGTATTTTCTAACCCCTTTATTAACCCCTTAAAGGTGCATCCCGCATATGTACGTCTCAGTAGCGAATAAGAGGAACTTTAACAAATCAGCACAAGCCTGCACCTATAGATTGTTTTTTTAGAGGAGCATCAGTGTAAAGTATCTGGAAAAGCATATAAAAGGCGAGCGGTTGTTTTGAAACTGACGAGAGGTTAGTAATTTTGTAGGTTCCTTAAAAACGTTTCTTTTTGTAGCTTTCATGCAAATAAAAATTGCAGTACAAATGTAGAAGCTATAAGAAAAACAATAGTTTCTTGTTGAGAATTCAAAAGTTCAGGTTACGTATCTTATGTTACTGAATAGAATCAAAAGACGTTATCACGACTCCTACGAGGTTCCAAAAGATAGTAAAAGGCAAGCAACAGTCAGCTATACATTGCATGATGCCAATCATGAATTTCTTCGTGTATGTTAGAAAATTTTTGCAAAACGTTTTCTGTGCCCTACAAATAACGGACGTACTTGTTAATAAAAATAAATTAGAAGACATCTGTGATACTGAGCGCACAAATCACATGAAGCCAAAATTCTCTGCATTTGATAAAGAATGAATTACGCAACACGTTGATTTCATTCCGCGACAGGAAAGATGGTGGAGCCGAGCCGAGTTGTACCGAAACACTGACTTTACATTCAAGTTTTATGGTGCAACATTCAAACGAAAATTCCCAAGTCTCAAATTTTATGTGCCAAGAGTGGACACTTGCAATTTGTGCGATAAACTGAAGTCTGAAATGTGTGCTAATATGGAGTCCATTGGTTCTGCCAAAATAAAACTGGAACTTCACCAACGCAACTCAACAACTTGGGCGACAAAATTTAAATATATGTCAAAACATTAATAGCAGCGCATCTGTTTCAACAATGGATTTCGAAAAAGAACTTTATGTGTTTGTGACCTGAGGGATTAGCAAGACATGGGTCCAACGAAATTGCTTCTTGTTTGCTCACTCTTTCGAACGAAGGTGTCTTAACTTCGAAGTCAAATTTAATCATATAGTCTGATAAGTGTGAAGGCCTAGGCAAAAATTTGGTTATTCTTTTTATTTTAATATTCCTGGTAGCCAACAATTTATTTCAGTTTCTAAAGCTGTAGTACTAATAAAGCAAAATATTCTCGGTGTTGTATATTTAAAAGACGTTTATATTGAAGTAGGCATGGACAAAAACCAATGTTTTAAAAAAAGGACCAAGCTTTGGAAAGTTTAATGTGAGCTCAACTTAAGGAGTATAATCCCAATAACAATATATCCGATAATAAATCGAAGTTTCTTAAATCAATAACTGATCATTGACATCTACAGCACGACAAATACAATTTAAAAATGTCAATTGCTTTAAAGAGTGGACTTCAAACCAAAAAGTTTGTGGATGAAGTTGCAAGGTGGAATATTGCAGATGTTCTGACTTCCCGGGAAGGAACGTGAAAATCGACATGCGATAACAATTCAGAGCACTCTATAAATAAAATAAAAATTGAAGCGATGCCATAGTTCCTACGGATAATTAAAGCATTTATTTCTAATCGCCTTAAGAGAACATATGATCAAAATATCTCTGTGGAAATACATCACTACATTTAAAAGCTAGATATTTTTTTAATGTCCTTCGAACTTCTTCTAATAGAATAATATATTGATTGAGAATAGGTTGCCATATAATGACCCCCTACTCTAGCTTAGATCTAATATAACTAAAGTAGAGTGCCTTTAGTACATGTTCGCTTGTAAACTCACTCAGCATTATGAAATTATGAAATATGAATAATAAAATTTTCAACGCACTGTGCCAAGTTCGATTGATATGGGTAGCAAACAAAGCTTAGTGGGAAATAAAACTCCCAAATATTTAGAGCCATCACTTCGTTTTAATTTTATATTGCCTAGAAAATTTAAATAAAAAACAACAAACCAAACGTATTGGAAAAACTAACAGACTGCAAGACTAAAGACACAAGGCAAGGGAAGCGTATAATTTCTAATCAAAAAGCGAGGTATTCTATCAGGACCACGGGAAGTTGTATTCTTCGACCTTTTAAATGTTTGCATTATGAATTATCGGAAAGACTGCTCAATATAATGCAGGAACTATCCTGTCCACAAGTCACATGGTGATACCCCAGGTGATGCAGCATAAGCGCAACTAAAATAATCGACAAAAGCGTTAGCTATTTCCCCAGAACTGGAAAAGTGACGGTCGCCATATGCAAGCGTGTCAGATATCCATACACAGGATTTTTTTAATTAATAAATGTAATAGCATATTTCAATTTTCAATTTTAAGACACTTACGATTTATCCGAACTTACTTTGAGGTTTTTATAAGTTTACTGACATCATGTTAGTTAATAAATATTATGTTGACCCGCATTTTGTCGCTCATCACCCAATCATGAAGTCTGTTTGAAACAACGACAGGATCGAGATAATGATCAATCAATCATGGCAGATTTGTTACTATGCGGCTCTTTGCATTAAACTGTTACGCTCCTTTATAACTAAATCATGCTTCTCGTGCTAATTTTGTTCTAGTGTGTCCGGCGCTTTCCTTTATATCGATCTTAATTTATGATTTTGATTGCTTTCTTCTTTGCGCCTGGGAGAGTAAACGAGTCGTTATTTACAGCTACTGCTTCTTGCTAGTTATTTTACCTTATGAATGTTACTCTTTACCTGTGTATTCGAATATATAAATATCTATATAGCGGTAGGTCATCGAAAAGACA